CCGGCATCAAATCCCTATACCACACTAAAAGCAGCAATTATTAAACGGACAGCCACCTCGGACGAAGCGAATCTGCAAAGATTGCCTGCAGGGGTCGAACTGGGCGATCTCACACCTTCGCAACTGCTACGGCACATGCAAAGCCTCGCATGCGGGAAGTCATTTGACGACACAATTTTAAAGCCGTTGTGGCTGCAGTCAGATGTCCCTCTGTCGTCANCTTCAACCATTTTTAAAACGTAGACAAATGAAATAGAGATGGTTATTGCGAAAATACCGTTCAAACTTTCAGTCAGCGGTAACGTGAAAGGGAATGGAATTTTTGGAATTTCGTACAACAGAACTTAATTTGTTAACTGTGTTCCCTTTCGAATTGGCCCCATCCGCGGGACAGCGTACGTCTGAATCTCATTCACAGGCGGTTGGCATCCGGCTGACTTTTGTTCTATGGGCCGCGCACGGTTTATAAACGGCTAATGCTTGTTATGTCCTATTTAGTTCACCGATGATTCTGCCGATATGTTGCAATGATAAGCTTAATAGTTTCCGTAACTTTCAACTGCGGCGTTATGGAAAGTGCGTCTGTCCTAGTGAATTACAGGACACTTATTCTTACATTAATATATTTGGCAGCCCGATAACTACTAATAGGCCTATTCCAGTTATAACGTTTTGACACTAAATGCGTTATGTCTTTGCCGTTGGGTGCTGCTGTTGGGCGCGCAGCGTCGAGTTGTCAGACATTCAACTGCTCTGTTCCACATTGCAGTCAGAAATGTCTGTTGGTTGCCTACATCTATCGGTTGAGTCCGTCTCATTTTGCAGGCGATAATATCGGGTAGGGTGCTTGTGATCAGCAAGATACCTGAAATTCAGTCATTGGAAATTTTGTCCTTGAAAATTCATCTCATCCCACTTGTTTGTTCCCTTATATCTACAAGGCGTTTTCCGCCATCTGGTTGAGGATATGGCCATAAGTGAGTAATTCATATTTTGATCAGTATCAAATCAAGGTAACGTTTTCCCGTTCGATAAAAATAAATTTATATGTGCTCCCTTACCAGGATGTCGGATACAATCAAATGTTGTCTCCAAAGTTTTCTTCGATCTTTGAGCCGCACTACTGTTTTCTCTCGAGAAAACAAAGATTTTCAAGCTCACCTGAGGCGATACACTTGCGGATCTTCTAGCACACATTCAAACTCCGTAGGGTAACCCCGCTTTCTGAAGAAGTTCAGCAGGTCAAGTTGTCCAAATCGTCCAAGGAGCATCTTTCAAAAGAAATTTACAACCATAGCTATAGGAAATCATTTAGAGGTCGAAATGATTGGGACAAAGTCTCTGTGACTGATATTAAAACGGAGACTTACGTTCAAGTATATGCGTAGGAAGTAAAATAGTCTGTTAAGCTGAAACAATTGATTGAACGGGGGAATTACCGCAAGCTCGCACAGTTGCGCATAATCTATGCTGGCCAAGAGGAAATTCAAAATCTGAATTGCCACAATAGTTTAAATTTTGTAGCAACTTAGGTGAGAGTACCTCAGTCAACAAGTATTTTATCGCTGTGCTCACTAACAATGGAATAGTCAGATGCAAACGGAAGAAAGGAAAGCCGAACATATCAGTAAAGATTGTGTCAAAACGTAATGGCAGCCCCTCGTCGAGCCACGAGTCTGCGGAATCGACTAGCACCTGAACCACATCTAGAATTGCAGCTCGGAAAGGAATCTTATCAAATCGGTTACATTTTTTATTACTTCAACGAGTATTTTCTCAGCTACCCACAAAACAAATCAATGGGTCAGGCAGCAGTTTTACTCAGAACCTTGAGACATTTTCCAGAACGACATTGTGAACAACGGTTAGGAGTCTGCCAGGAGCGAAAATTTACATGTCTAACCAAACTGAAGCCCTAGTCTATGGTATTCCCCAAAAAAGCATTCACCTGGATTTTCTGGAAAAACCAAACCGGCCCACATAAAATTGCTCTGCAACTTTCATACAAATTGGGTTCAATTGTAACAAAATAATAACAGAAGATTGAAAACTGAACAATTCAGATAGCACGGAACATTAGCAGCAATGAGACGATTTCGGACGATTTCCGTCGTCACACAACCAAAATTTCACATTTTCTAATTTCACCTTGCCTCTGATGATATTCTTGTGATCAAATTGGCACATGGAAAGGCATTTTGAGGCACAAATTGAGCATCTTTATAAACCTCTGGTAACAACTTACTTGGATCTTCTCAATGCGCTCTCTATTGTCATGCGCTCGAATGAATACGCCATCTTATACCTTAATAAAGCAGCTTCAATTTGTAATTGCTACCAAAAGTTTTGATTTTTCGACATATGTCGAGATGCTAATAAATTTCATGAACGACGAAACACAGACATAGGGTGGAACAATTTCTAACACTGGAATAATCCTAAATGATCTGTCGCTACAGAGATGGAGATGTTCAACGTGGAAACCTCTCAAAGCATTGGTGAGTTGGTTTGATGGTGGACATTATTTCCTCTTTTCCCTTTTCCTTGTTTTGTTTTGATGCAACACCACTATCTCATTCATATTGGTCTAAAGGCAATGGGATATTTAACCAAATCATCTGACTAAATTTGGCCTTGAAATGACGGCAATTTCCCTGATCAAGCACGTTGCTCATATAGTTGCCTACATCGCATGCGAGCCGGAAACTAGCTTTGTCCCTTGTGATATTCATCAGGTACATGTAGTTTGCAGTTTATATTGGCATCACGAGAATGCCACATTGTAAATGCACCCATTGTTAGATCACATTGATATCTATGCTATCTTTCGGTTGAGCCTCCGTGAACGCTCAACTAAACTGCACCTTGTCAGTAAAATACAATTTGCGGTTACCATCTGGAAATCTCGGCTATCCCAAGGAGAATGAAGCAGATCATAAAGCGCCAATGTGATTTAACAAACTTGTACGTAGTGTACCGCCAAGAAACCATACTGCGAAATCTGGAATATCGCACCAAAATGGGGTGACCTTTACGAAAAAGTTGTGGAGGATCAGAGACGAGCAATTAAGTTAGGCCCCCATGACAGAGACAGTAAAATTCTTAAGTAAGCTCATGTCGCTTCCATTCACCATCTTATTCGTCTCCTCGGAAAAGGAGGTTGCCAGATTGGCAAAATCAATTCAAGCAGCTAAATTTTCAAGAAGCAAACTACTCTTTCACACATAAAGAAACACATACTAAAATCATGGCTCTGCATCTAACGATAAACCACACGTTCTTCGGAGCATTCACCCTATGCTTGATTGTGGCGAATTGCCAATCACCACTTACGACGTGTGAAAGCACACAGTTCAAAAGAATGGAGGCTAGGCCGAACTTAAACGGCGGCTTCCCGGCTGCCGCGAACTGTTGTAAATGGGATCAATCTTGCTATGCAAACCGGACCCCAAATGAACAATCTCAAAAGGTTTCTTTAAGTGCTAGTAATTCATGAAGGGTGCTTAGCTATTGACAAATTACTGGAAATTTCGGAGCCAATATAGTAGGCACTCGTTCCCAGTTTCGTCTCACCTTAACTTTAAAGTCACTCCGTTTCCCAGTTTCCCAAGCACTGTGTACATTCCACAAAGAACAATGCGAGAGCATACCCCTTAAGTAGAGCGTATTATGACCAAGTAACTTCTCTAGACATGCTAACAAATTTTTGATGATATTATGAAAAAGTACCTCAATAGAAACCTGAAAAGCTTTCCAAGAAAAGTCGGCAGTACCTCCCAATTATTTTTCAGCAAAATCATTTTTTATGGCCTCGCCGCAAGTTGCGGCCTCCATTTATGTTAACAGTGAGTCCAGCGCAAATTATTTTGTTAATATAGTGAGAACTATTACGTGTTGCTGTACATCTCGCACTTCATTAAATATACTAGATCGCGGAATCTGTACATTTTAGTCAGATTGTTAACTGCCCTAACCAGCTCAGATCACCTGTGAGCAGATCGATTGCATGACCCAAGGCGTACAGACTAGATCAAATATGCCGGAAGGGTAGTCAGGGATCGAAGCAATGAGGAACAATGTGTGCTGGTACTACAGAACCGCTAGGGTTCGTGCTGTCCTCTGGGTATAGTGACGTTTCTTCCAAGCATACTGAGGGACGCAGCGGTGCTACCGCTTTTCCACATGGAAGGACAAGGTAGAGGAAGCCCGCTCGTCAGTAAACAATAAATGTGGACGCATTACCCAGTACGATTGAAAAGCTCTGAAAAATCAGACTTCATTTGCAGGCAGCACTTATGCACACCGTTGCCGAAATAAAAATGGAGTTCCATGCCTTGATTCGTGTGTTCAGCAAACTGATCTTCAACGTGATATTATAATGCTGAAGTCGAGTAAACCTCCCGCTGTCCAGATTCCGGCCGTATATTTGAACGCTGTGGCGCCTAACCTTATCACTTTTAGACTAGGATTTATTCCTTAGACGTGTGCAAGCTTACTACATATCACGCTATTTTACTATGCCTCACCGACAGACTACGTCACTGGAGAATACATAGGTAAGTTATTACAGACCAATAGCCGCCTATTGCAGTTAAGCATGAGTGTCACTGCGAGGTTTATTGGATCGATCTAACGTTACCCTCTGCTTATCTCATCTTACGCGGAATTCACTACACCTGTAACTTCTAGACGGATACGAAAACAACAAGGTTCATCACATAGAACGCATCAAAATCGGGGGTTTCATTTGACAATAGAGTAATTCGCCGAATCTGGCAATTCCGCAGCGTTTGTTTCGTTGACAACCTAATTATCGCCATCAGTTTGTTGGGATGAACGAACATAAGTGTTTGGTGATAAGCAGGTGGTCTCTGCGATCCATTTCGCAGCCTTGGGGTCAAAACAATCTAGTGGAATATTGCGGAAGAATTGCCTGAGCCATAGATATTTCGTTCTAAATCAAACTCATTGGATCACATCCTCGAACGAAACCACTCACACTGATTCATACACACTATTTTACAGCTCTTCCGCTAGTGATGGCCGAGAAGATGCTTCAAGGTAACTTACAGCTTCTACTGTTAACGTGTTGATACAAGATGTGTGTTTTTGGGGCAGAATTGGAAGGTAACACGTCTTGAAAATGAAAGCGTCGTATTAATACTTTTGAAAGTCTCTGAGATTTCCACCAGATTAATGACTGTCACCAATTACTCTGGTTCGAACTACTGACCTTCCGGTGGGTACGTTCGTGCTCTCACCACTTGGGCCATCTCGCATCCACCGGTCTTAGCGTAGGAGAAGTTAATCTTCGCCTCGGATTTTAGTTCGACCTGTTTTATAGTCGCTAGTGGGGATAAACGTATGGAAATTTCAGGATAATAGCACACTCGCTCATCGAGCATTGATACCCTCATGTATGACTTAGAACAAACACCTTTCCTTGCTATTGGGCCTCAGCTTCATCGTGAAACTGTAAAGTTGCATAAAAAATATTCCTGGAAGCCGTTGATTGAGTTGAGACTGGACTTGCCTGCAGTCGAGAAGAGAACACCATGATCCGCTCAACACGTACTCACAACTTTGTTACAAATAATTTCAGGTAGGCCAGGGATGTGACATTTCCAACGGTGGACTGAACGAGTCAAACCAGATTCAAGTATAAAAAGCAAAACGTTCCCATCTAGGGCTGAAATTACTGAGCCTTGACAGTGCTTTATTACCCGCATTTTGCTTTCCACCATATTAGTTCCGTTTAGCTTCTTTGCGGTACGACCTAAGATGCTGAAGTGCAGTTAGAGGATATGAAGAGATAGTACAGAGCAATGCGATTGATTGAATCGCATCCTATGAGCTAGTTAGAGCTAGTTACCGACCAGGATCGCAAAAGTTCTCCAGCAAAGTTGACTTACAAATTAAGCGAACAGTTTTCAAGAACCGTTAAACAAGCTTAAAAGTGCAGCACAACACCAGAATTTCCGTTCTCGCATTTGGTGGATAACCTAGGTGTGATAAGCGTGGGATTAAACAGTTTTGGCGTTTTTTGCGACCNAAATTTTTCCAGCCTTCCACCTCTCAAATTCGTCGCACTACCGCTCCTAGACTCTGACAGTTTCATTGTTTGTGACATATCCACAGGTCGCCCAAGGCCTTTTGTTCCTGAAAAACATAGACGCTCTGTATTCGACCACTTCCACGCAATTTCTCATCCCAGCCAAACTTGTGTCACAAAGATACGCTTGGCCGAATATGCAAGATGAGATACGCACTTGGGCCAAGCAACGTCTTGACTGTCAGACGAGCAAGACCCAGCGACACACCATTTCTCCAACTGCTATTTTTCAGCTCCCCGACTCACACTTTCGAAATGTACACATTGACCTGGTTGGACGGTTGCCCCCATTCAGAGGTTTCACACACATACTCACCTGTATCGACCGTTTCACACGCTGGCCCATGGCGATTCCGATCAACGACTTGTCTGCCAAAAACACTGCTAGAATCTTTGTCGATAGCTGGATCGCTACGTTCGGTGTACCCGCTACCATTATCACTGACCGAGGTCCACAATTCACTTCAACACTTTTTCATGACCTCAAACGGCTACGTGGTACGGATCACTTCCGAACAACTGCATACCAACCGGCTGCCAACGGCATGGTCGAACGCTTTCATCGACAACTTAAGGCAACGCTGATAGCCTCCTCTAGCACACACTGGTCGGAACGCCTCTCACTCATTATTTTCAGTATACACAATACTGTTAAAAAGACTTGGGCTGCACAGCCGCTGAACTCGTCTTCGGTACTACCTTACGCATTCCAGGTGAAATGGTAGTCGACTCGGCAACAACTGGTAAAACGGACCCTAATTCCTACGCTTCCCGGCTTCGCCAATACATGCGTGATATCCGTCCTTCACCTACTCGACAAACTTGCAAGCCTACCCAGGCACATCCCGATCTTGCTAGATGTGACTATGTTTTTGCGGTCAGAAAGCCCTTACAACCGCCATACGAGGGGCCTTTCAGATTCACTCCTCGGAAAGACAAAACTTTTGTCATTGATCGTAACGGCTGCAAAGACACGGTTAGCATCGATCGACTAAAAGTTGCTTACATGCACACACGACCAACCTCTGATGATGAGCATAGTACGACCCCCTTCGTTACACAACCACACAGTCACACGATCTTTCCTTCGACCAGTGACACCACCAATACCACACACACCATCACTCACAAGATCTGGTCGACACTGAAAACTTCCTGTTTGTTTTAAAGACTAATTGTCGTGACGCGTTTCTTTTTCGAGCGTCCTGCTCACCCATTTGACGCACTAGGGGGGTTCTGTAGCTCTTGTAAACTGCTCTATTTCATGCTCATAATCATCTTATTTTTTCCCATCATTATCAGTCACATCGCTGTACAAAAGTTTGTTTTACTGAAATACAACCGCTACCGCCCGCTCGTTGGCTCCAACGTGACTTTGAGACTTTTGCTGAGTGACTGTTGTTGTGACCGCCGGTTGGCTATATTTGACCGCTGCTAACACTAAACGTGAACAAACATTTCAGCTACAAACACTGGACTAATATATTCACGCTTGTGGAATAATATTTCGATCACCGGAGATCTGGGATACCAGGAAGATAGAACTATTCTTGGTGTGGTGGTTCAACGGAATACGGAACTACGGAATCTCCTATTTTGAACTGTGAGTCGAGATTTACTTGGATTATCCTCCTTGTGACTTTGTATCTGGCTTATATCAGTAATTTGTTCAGTTCACAGGAGACTCCATAGAGTCGTTAACCACTACAGAACAGCAGGTCAACGAACCTCGTGGGAGAAAGGTAAGAAATCGTTTATTCCGTTAGGAATCGGCTGTATTCCGTCCGGTGAACAAACCATAAATAACGGAGCATGTACTTTCAGAAAAGGGGCTGGAGCTCAGCTTTGCACAAACGTGATTGGATTTAGCTGACTTCCGTCAGATTGCAAAGTTGTCATGTTGCGATTCCGTTTCATTGGATTCACTGTACCCAGGTGTGTATTTGCAGTATCCAGCCGTATTGTCTGGTGTGTATCCTTTTCAAGAATTCGGAAACGGCCGAATCGGGACACTCCCGTGAACAAGAAGCATGCTGATGCTCAGACATACTTGTATGTCAAAACGGGTGACTTGATACTGGTGAATTCTCAGCATCCTCAGGTAGGTGATTTTCTATCTGGATGGTGGATTATGGGGGACAAAGTGTCTCAGAAGTATTCAGGCTTCTGGCAATTGCTCTCTCCATACATTTTTTCGGAACCCTTCCACAGAAAGGGCGTCGGGCTCATCATGACTCGCCGAAAGTGGCATGTACACACCTAAGCAAATTTAGCGTACATGAAAAGGAATGCCAATGGTTACATCCCTCGTGAAACAAGATCTCCTGTCGCCTGGACACAAAATAACCCGCATACTCTTGAATGCACCCCACCAGACAATGCGGTAGGGATTGTTTCTTTCGTGAGATGTCTTTTTATTGCGCATCGTCTTTCCAGGTGCTAGCGTTGTTATGAAATTTACTTTAAACCATCCCCTCGACTTCTAGGAACAACGCCCACATTCTTAAGGGACGTTTATAGTACACAGCATAGTTTTTATCCGATAGATCAGCCTTCGCCAAGAGCTAGACACTCTTACCAACTGGGAACTTGAGGGCGAGTAACCTTCACATAGAAGAGATTTCTTCAGGATGAATTTAATAACATTTTTGTCACCCCACACCGATGTTCCACAGCTATCGAGAGAATTACAAAATAGCTTCAGCACACCGGGATTAACATTCAGCGCAGCAGCGGAAATTGGCACGACTTCGTCCAAAAAGTTGCGCCCAATGTGCAACGACCGAGCTCGGGAGACGCCATTGATCGTCTTGTACACGTTCCCCATTATAGGCGGGGCATATAACAAGAGGTTTCATAGAAGACACCTCAACCAGCCCCGCGGAGTAACATGAAGCTTGCTCCATGTTGGAATACCACCTTGCTGGGTACCACTGGCTCTTTTGCCGCTCCGGCATGTCTACGGTCTTTGTTCTAGGACAGTTCTCGCCTAAAACCACTACCAGTCTAACCGAAACTCTGTGCTTGGAGTGCTTTACTCTAGTTGACGAAATTGGGCCTGGATCGGAATTCAGAAGGAACGATGCTTTCTTTCGCAAGTCCCTCCAACCAGCCGGGTAGAGGACGACTGTGAAAGCACGTTGAATTATACTGATCTTAGCGACTGATAAGGAGGTGACGAAGTTTTCCCCTTCTGAAGCCGCAAGTAATAGAAGCGGGAGATTAAAATCATCGATCGATTAGAAGCGATGAAAAAGACAGCACTCAGAACTCTTGAAAAACAGCCCAGATGGCTATCTCCCATCGTCCTAATGAATGAATTCTCTCTCACGTTAACAGTTGGAAAAATTTAGTGCTGAGATTCAATTCGCGCTGCGGCCGCTGCGGTTCCTACCCCAGTGATTTATTTACTGTGACGGAAACTTTTTTGTGCGTTTGAAACTGCGCCATCTACTCTGGAAGAAAATTATGAAGTTGGTCGCTTTAAGAGGTACTACAGGTAATCTAAAAAGTTTATCCATAATCTACGGGCCGTTTATAGGGTACCCAATTGGCGTTTTAGGAACTCATCGCAATTTTCCGCTTGTCACAGACCAGAAAACTGGGTCAGCAAGTGAGTCGCACGAGAGGTACAGATTAATTCTTCACTCTCCTGGGCTGCAGTCCAGATATGCGTATGAAATACTGTACCATAGTAAGGACGATGACATTACCCATCGAGTGGCTAGTTAAATGTCTTGTTAACAATCGCAATATTTCCTTTGATAAAATTTTTATTGTATTAGCCTGCGCACGTCGGCTCGAATGTCCGAAACTGTTATGTCACCCTATCGCCTGCTGGCTAGCAGTGTATCGCGGACTAGCCTTCAGGTATTTGTTGATTAGCATGGGAGTTCCAATTGATTCTGCGGTCATTGGATAACGTCTTTGTCATATGATGCTGTCAGTTTGTGTGCTGTTGCAGGGAAATTTAGGCATAAATTTGCTTAAGGATGCGTACTATTTGGACAACAGACCACAGGGAACCATGACCGGTAGACCCGTTAACATTTTCACCCCTAAAACCGATGGACGCTGGTAAGTTTTTACACACGTTTTACAGTGCTTGAGCCGAGAATTGCCCAGCTCTGTGTCTGTTTTTGCATTTTGGTTTAATTAACATCTTTTCAAGTTTTCAGCGCATTAGTCCTTAAGCTTGTTGTACTATGGTTACAAAGTTGAGTTCATTGAGTGTGTTGAGAAATTGTAAGCTGTATCCCTTTCACACTGCAGCATTTGAGGAGCCGTCAAATGTGTACATGAAGGTGAACCACGTGATATTTTTGCGCTCATCTGGTAATCAAAGCACCGGCACTGTTTTGCTTTACGAATGGATGCAATATACCTACGACGGGGAGTATGCAAGACAAACTGAATGTCGGGAAATCCGAAGAATTTAGTAAGTTTAGCGAGTTTTTCAATGGAAATCAGTAAGTAAAACACCGGTCACCCTGTGCGTTTTTGTCTCAGGAAGCAGGGGAACCGTCTTGTCAGGGCGTTCCCAGACATGGAAGAAGCATATGTGCAGAGAAAGACGAATCCTCAAGGCCACCATCATTTCACACGTTCAGGATAGCAGGTGCGTTGGCGGAGCACACCAAACACGGTTTGGCAAAATAAGACCGGCGTCGTGGGGCTTAAAGAGTTCACACCGGAACACAGCCACTGGCCGTGCAGAACAGTGAAGTGAACGGCCGTGATTGGCTATTAAGTCATCCTAAATAACTATACAGAAGCTTTGTATGTTGCGCCCTGACAATACAGCCGTGTCTCCAGTTCTCTGTCTTCGCCTTATCGCACATCCTGACAGGCTAAGGGAGGCGTAGCCAGTGGACGGCCACCCACGATACAACACATCTCGCTGTCATCTTTAATGTTAGGTTTGCAGGTGTTTGTTAGATAGGCTTCCGGCAAGTGCACGTCTAAACTAAGTGGAGTTGGGCACATGCAACGCACTCCTAAAGTATTGAAGGCCGTAGTGTGAAGCGCGGCGGTTTGTGGCAGAGGAATTTGACAAGGTTCCTTCAACTGAGGACATACACAACTTTCGAATTGTCAACTAACCCCACTGAGTAGGTGCCACATATTTGTGTTTTATTGTGGCAGATGATATGCCTCTGATCCTAGCGACACTTTTGTAGACCGGACACTTGCTTGTGCTGCCCTTAAGGGAAAAACACTATGGCCTCATTTGCCTCTCCAGATGCAGCAGATAGCGCCGTTTTGACGCTTCCCAGAAATAGCAAATGTCGACTGAACGCACGCGACAAATCGTTCTTGGCATATATTTTTAAACCAACTAATATCCGGCCGGTGTGTACAAGCGTTATGCCTCACTGATCGTGAATTGTATGAGTACCGGTTGTCCGGTTATATATGCCTTCTTGGAAAAATAAAAGTTATCTCCATGCGTAAACTTTTAACTGATGGAGGGCAGCATCGAGTAAAGACTGATCATAGACAATCTGGCAGTACAAATGCAATGCGCTGGTTTAAGATCACCCGAAAATCAGCTGTACACGCACAATCCTGAATGGTCCATTTTGGTTATTGACCAACACCCATCTGAAAAATGCAACCTGCCGCCTGAAAAGCCAGGTGGATCACATATACACACTGCAGCAAAACATGAGGTGTCCCGGCATGCCGAGTGGCTGAAGCAAAAATTCGGGATACCTTAGTC